CTACTACTACTACTACTACTACTACTACTACTACTACTACTACTACTACTACTACTACTACTACTACTACTACTACTACTACTACTACTACTACTACTACTACTACTACTACTACTACTACTACTACTACTACTACTACTACTACTACTACTACTACTACTACTACTACTACTACTACTACTACTACTACTACTACTACTACTACTACTACTACTACTACTACTACTACTACTACTACTACTACTACTACTACTACTACTACTACTACTACTACTACTACTACTACTACTACTACTACTACTACTACTACTACTACTACTACTACTACTACTACTACTACTACTACTACTACTACTACTACTACTACTACTACTACTACTACTACTACTACTACTACTACTACTACTACTACTACTACTACTACTACTACTACTACTACTACTACTACTACTACTACTACTACTACTACTACTACTACTACTACTACTACTACTACTACTACTACTACTACTACTACTACTACTACTACTACTACTACTACTACTACTACTACTACTACTACTACTACTACTACTACTACTACTACTACTACTACTACTACTACTACTACTACTACTACTACTACTACTACTACTACTACTACTACTACTACTACTACTACTACTACTACTACTACTACTACTACTACTACTACTACTACTACTACTACTACTACTACTACTACTACTACTACTACTACTACTACTACTACTACTACTACTACTACTACTACTACTACTACTACTACTACTACTACTACTACTACTACTACTACTACTACTACTACTACTACTACTACTACTACTACTACTACTACTACTACTACTACTACTACTACTACTACTACTACTACTACTACTACTACTACTACTACTACTACTACTACTACTACTACTACTACTACTACTACTACTACTACTACTACTACTACTACTACTACTACTACTACTACTACTACTACTACTACTACTACTACTACTACTACTACTACTACTACTACTACTACTACTACTACTACTACTACTACTACTACTACTACTACTACTACTACTACTACTACTACTACTACTACTACTACTACTACTACTACTACTACTACTACTACTACTACTACTACTACTACTACTACTACTACTACTACTACTACTACTACTACTACTACTACTACTACTACTACTACTACTACTACTACTACTACTACTACTACTACTACTACTACTACTACTACTACTACTACTACTACTACTACTACTACTACTACTACTACTACTACTACTACTACTACTACTACTACTACTACTACTACTACTACTACTACTACTACTACTACTACTACTACTACTACTACTACTACTACTACTACTACTACTACTACTACTACTACTACTACTACTACTACTACTACTACTACTACTACTACTACTACTACTACTACTACTACTACTACTACTACTACTACTACTACTACTACTACTACTACTACTACTACTACTACTACTACTACTACCACTACTACTACTACTACTACTACTACTACTACTACTACTACTACTACTACTACTACTACTACTACTACTACTACTACTACTACTACTACTACTACTACTACTACTACTACTACTACTACTACTACTACTACTACTACTACTACTACTACTACTACTACTACTACTACTACTACTACTACTACTACTACTACTACTACTACTACTACTACTACTACTACTACTACTACTACTACTACTACTACTACTACTACTACTACTACTACTACTACTACTACTACTACTACTACTACTACTACTACTACTACTACTACTACTACTACTACTACTACTACTACTACTACTACTACTACTACTACTACTACTACTACTACTACTACTACTACTACTACTACTACACTACTACTACTTCGCCTTTATTTGAAAACAAACCGGGTATCAGAAAGAAGAAACTGAAAAGCGCAAGCAAGAAAAGCAATGGTGACAAAACCATTCAATAAAAATCAAATCAAATAAATAGGAAAATCCAATCAGAAAATAAAATAAAATAAAATAAAAATAAAATAAAAGAATCAAGCCAACTAGGGAATACAAAAACAAAGAGCAAACCCGCAAACACCATCCAAGCATCGCTACTACCAGTACGGTGACGTTTCCATTCACCCAACCGCTCAAACGCTTTTAAAACGAAAACAAATACAACAGAACACTCTGAGACAGAATGAAACCAATGACAATATTATGGCAAGTCCATTGATGCCCGTCAGCGCGGCATATGAGCCAATGTACGGCACTCCGTTACAAAGCAATGTCGGCCAATGCCGGATCCACTGCGTAGGTATGATGCACGTGACCCCCGGAAGCAAGTAATCTGCCACCGCATCAGAGATAGACTGATTCTCGAGCGCAAGTGGCTGATGATGAGACGATACGGTATGTCCGAGTTCTTATGGTGCAATTGTGTTGCGAGGGTCTTGAGGAAGATGCCACATTCGGGAGCACACTGTCCACTGGTGGCGAAAACAAGCGGAGTGAACGATCCTCGATCCACCTGGTTGATTCGATCGGAATACTGACGTTTCTTCTGACGCTCGTGTTGGGATAACTGCCTCGACACTTCTGGTCCAGACAGCAAAGACGGCCTTGGGTGCGTGACCCGTACATCAAAAAAGGCGTTTTGCTGCCTGGTCCAGAAGCCACGAGCCCGTATATCCACACGAGCACCGTCAGCTGAGCCCCCAGAGACGGCTTCACCACCCAACGGCATCAGCGGTGGCTCAATCTCGACATCGCAAACAACACTAGCGAGTGCGTCCGCTAGGAGGTCGCGAAGTTCATTGTGTCTCTGGGTAGGGTATCCCCCGCTTGGGCACGTGAGGGCGTGATGAACCGACATGTCTTGGCCACAAACACAGGATAATGATATGCCATCAAGCGGCAGGCCATACCTCAGGCACAATGCGTCTCGAAAATCAGACTTGTTGAATATAGTTAAAGGAAATGAAGCCGATGGAGGCGTAACCAGCCACGTTGACACACCGCCGTCACCCGCGACATCCACTAGTAGGCGCTGCTCATCCGTCAGAGCGGGCCTGATCTCCTCCAATGCAGCATTGTGCTGCGCCCGGCGTTCCCGGCGAGCCTGCGTGGCCAAACCCCTGGAGGCAGCGATGATATCGGCAACAGGACCGTCGATAGCATCAGGACCATCGACAGCACCAGTCAGCACGCAATCCACCATGGGCATTATCGACGTCCGGCAAAGGAGGTACTCAGCCTCCGCACGCAAACTGCCAATGCGGATAGCCAGCCCTCCATTCCCCACAGGCATTGCAAAGAGCTGACGGAGTACACCATCAGCCGCAAGAGGATGGCCTGTCAATGCTGGCAGCAGATGTTTGTTGATGACGTCATCCAGTGGCGTATACAGGACAGGGTCCACAAAGACTGCACGCTGCAGATAGGTCCAACGGGACTGCAGAGAGGCAGAGAAGACGCGAAAGGCCGCCTGAGGCTGGGTGACAGCCAGACCAGCAAGGCGCCTAACCAATGTGGACAGTTCCTCAACACGGCTCTTCACAAAATTCTCTCGGAACTGTTGGTCTCCAATGGCCCCGCCAAGGTAACGAACGCCGTCGCTCCGGATACGGACATCAGTGCCGGCAAATACCTCCTGGGCCCTTTCCATTAAATGTGGACGGACGAGTAAAACCGTCTTCATGGCATTGGGGTGGTAGCCATACCGAGGCCCCTCCTCCACGATGCAATCCCAATACCCACGCAGCGGCAGGAGCTCTCCGGCTGCGGCATCGTCATCCGCGTACCAAATCTGGCTGGTGCTTGGAAGTCGACGCGACAGCCGAGATGCCAGGGGCACAGTCGCGAGAGCGTAGAACGCCATGGCAAGAGGATCCCCTTGGCATGTACCCTCCCGGGAATAAATGACCTCTCCGCCATTGAGGTATAGAGGGATGTCGGCCTGGTAGGTGTTTATGAAAATTCGCCCAGCGGCAGGACAGATTCTTGGAATGTTGTGTAGCGCCGCGGCCCTGTTCAGAGAATTGAAGGCGTTGGACGCATCCACCAGCAGAATACCTTGAGTCGTCTCGCGGTCATAGAGGCCGGTCAAAGCCTACTACTACTACTACTACTACTACTACTACTACTACTACTACTACTACTACTACTACTACTACTACTACTACTACTACTACTACTACTACTACTACTACTACTACTACTACTACTACTACTACTACTACTACTACTACTACTACTACTACTACTACTACTACTACTACTACTACTACTACTACTACTACTACTACTACTACTACTACTACTACTACTACTACTACTACTACTACTACTACTACTACTACTACTACTACTACTACTACTACTACTACTACTACTACTACTACTACTACTACTACTACTACTACTACTACTACTACTACTACTACTACTACTACTACTACTACTACTACTACTACTACTACTACTACTACTACTACTACTACTACTTGGAAGCGTGTTTTTATTGACCACATAAAATGATGATGCAAAGAAAGAAAAGAACACCGGAAACATAATGCTGGATTTGAAAGAAGAAGAGAAAAAGGAAGATTAAAAGAAACCTGACCAAGAGAACTCAAGCATTGCACCCAGGAGGCAAAAATGAACTCAATCCCTAGCATAGGCTCAATGAGGTCGTGTAATTGCACAAATTTCAACGGATCCAAGTAAAACTCCAACCAACAAGTGGAACGAATTCAAATATTACAAAGCAACAGCGAAAATAGAATAACAACACAGTGAACAAAAAAAAAGAAAAGTACTACTACTACTACTACTACTACTACTACTACTACTACTACTACTACTACTACTACTACTACTACTACTACTACTACTACTACTACTACTACTACTACTACTACTACTACTACTACTACTACTACTACTACTACTACTACTACTACTACTACTACTACTACTACTACTACTACTACTACTACTACTACTACTACTACTACTACTACTACTACTACTACTACTACTACTACTACTACTACTACTACTACTACTACTACTACTACTACTACTACTACTACTACTACTACTACTACTACTACTACTACTACTACTACTACTACTACTACTACTACTACTACTACTACTACTACTACTACTACTACTACTACTACTACTACTACTACTACTACTACTACTACTACTACTACTACTACTACTACTACTACTACTACTACTACTACTACTACTACTACTACTACTACTACTACTACTACTACTACTACTACTACTACTACTACTACTACTACTACTACTACTACTACTACTACTACTACTACTACTACTACTACTACTACTACTACTACTACTACTACTACTACTACTACTACTACTACTACTACTACTACTACTACTACTACTACTACTACTACTACTACTACTACTACTACTACTACTACTACTACTACTACTACTACTACTACTACTACTACTACTACTACTACTACTACTACTACTACTACTACTACTACTACTACTACTACTACTACTACTACTACTACTACTACTACTACTACTACTACTACTACTACTACTACTACTACTACTACTACTACTACTACTACTACTACTACTACTACTACTACTACTACTACTACTACTACTACTACTACTACTACTACTACTACTACTACTACTACTACTACTACTACTACTACTACTACTACTACTACTACTACTACTACTACTACTACTACTACTACTACTACTACTACTACTACTACTTGGAAGCGTGTTTTTATTGACCACATAAAATGATGATGCAAAGAAAGAAAAGAACACCGGAAACATAATGCTGGATTTGAAAGAAGAAGAGAAAAAGGAAGATTAAAAGAAACCTGACCAAGAGAACTCAAGCATTGCACCCAGGAGGCAAAAATGAACTCAATCCCTAGCATAGGCTCAATGAGGTCGTGTAATTGCACAAATTTCAACGGATCCAAGTAAAACTCCAACCAACAAGTGGAACGAATTCAAATATTACAAAGCAACAGCGAAAATAGAATAACAACACAGTGAACAAAAAAAAAGAAAAGTACTACTACTACTACTACTACTACTACTACTACTACTACTACTACTACTACTACTACTACTACTACTACTACTACTACTACTACTACTACTACTACTACTACTACTACTACTACTACTACTACTACTACTACTACTACTACTACTACTACTACTACTACTACTACTACTACTACTACTACTACTACTACTACTACTACTACTACTACTACTACTACTACTACTACTACTACTACTACTACTACTACTACTACTACTACTACTACTACTACTACTACTACTACTACTACTACTACTACTACTACTACTACTACTACTACTACTACTACTACTACTACTACTACTACTACTACTACTACTACTACTACTACTACTACTACTACTACTACTTGAGAACGGTTTTATTCACAACACCATGAAGTAAGAGTCAAAGCAAAAAGACAACCCAATTTCGGAATAAAATAGAACACTCAATTGAAATATAAAACTTTGAACTCAAAAGCTTCACACGAAATCATCACCTAATAACAATGCCTACGGGCATGCAAAGGCGAACGGTCAGAGCTCTGGCCGTGTCAGCAGAGCCGGCGGCAATAAGCTGCAAAGGGGCTCCCGACCCTGCGGCGAATGTAAGAGGCCCTGCAGCCCCTGAAGCACGTGACTGCCCATCGCAGCAGGCAAAATGAAACTCGGGTGCGTAACTCACCCATCACAGCAGAATATACCAAGTCTTTGTTTTTGTCTACAACGAGAGCAGCTAGCGACTTCAGGAATATAGAAGTTTCCTTGCCCGCCACACCCGAGGTCGAAAACACCAGTGGGGTGAATGATGCCCTCTCCACCTGGTTGACTCTGGCACCATACGCCGCCTTCTTCATTCTCTCATGTGTTCTCAGGTGGCTAAGGATTTCCGGACGAGACAGCAAGGACGGCCCAAGGTCAGTGACCCCTACATCAAAATAGGCGTCCTGCTGCCGCGACCAGAAACCCCTAGCCCGTATGTCCAGGCGTGCCTCTGGCTGACGATTCGCGGAGACGGCAGAGATGTCCTCACCGTGTAGCGGGAGCAGATGTGGCTCAACCTCCACATCGGGCAGTACCTCCTGCAGCACTCCCGCCAGGAGGTCCCGAAGCTCGTACTACTACTACTACTACTACTACTACTACTACTACTACTACTACTACTACTACTACTACTACTACTACTACTACTACTACTACTACTACTACTACTACTACTACTACTACTACTACTACTACTACTACTACTACTACTACTACTACTACTACTACTACTACTACTACTACTACTACTACTACTACTACTACTACTACTACTACTACTACTACTACTACTACTACTACTACTACTACTACTACTACTACTACTACTACTACTACTACTACTACTACTACTACTACTACTACTACTACTACTACTACTACTACTACTACTACTACTACTACTACTACTACTACTACTACTACTACTACTACTACTACTACTACTACTACTACTACTACTACTACTACTACTACTACTACTACTACTACTACTACTACTACTACTACTACTACTACTACTACTACTACTACTACTACTACTACTACTACTACTACTACTACTACTACTACTACTACTACTACTACTACTACTACTACTACTACTACTACTACTACTACTACTACTACTACTACTACTACTACTACTACTACTACTACTACTACTACTACTACTACTACTACTACTACTACTACTACTACTACTACTACTACTACTATACTACGTCATGTATTACAATTGGTACATGACTTAATAATAGCCGTTTGGCATGGTACAATAACCTTTTTTGTTTTATTTTTTATTTTTAATGGCTTTCTCTTCTTCCTCGGATGGTTTACAATTTGTATCGCAATTATTTGTGGGTTCAGCAATAAAGGATGTGACTACTACTACTACTACTACTACTACTACTACTACTACTACTACTACTACTACTACTACTACTACTACTACTACTACTACTACTACTACTACTACTACTACTACTACTACTACTACTACTACTACTACTACTACTACTACTACTACTACTACTACTACTACTACTACTACTACTACTACTACTACTACTACTACTACTACTACTACTACTACTACTACTACTACTACTACTACTACTACTACTACTACTACTACTACTACTACTACTACTACTACTACTACTACTACTACTACTACTACTACTACTACTACTACTACTACTACTACTACTACTACTACTACTACTACTACTACTACTACTACTACTACTACTACTACTACTACTACTACTACTACTACTACTACTACTACTACTACTACTACTACTACTACTACTACTACTACTACTACTACTACTACTACTACTACTACTACTACTACTACTACTACTACTACTACTACTACTACTACTACTACTACTACTACTACTACTACTACTACTACTACTACTACTACTACTACTACTACTACTACTACTACTACTACTACTACTACTACTACTACTACTACTACTACTACTACTACTACTACTACTACTACTACTACTACTACTACTACTACTACTACTACTACTACTACTACTACTACTACTACTACTACTACTACTACTACTACTACTACTACTACTACTACTACTACTACTACTACTACTACTACTACTACTACTACTACTACTACTACTACTACTACTACTACTACTACTACTACTACTACTACTACTACTACTACTACTACTACTACTACTACTACTACTACTACTACTACTACTACTACTACTACTACTACTACTACTACTACTACTACTACTACTACTACTACTACTACTACTACTACTACTACTACTACTACTACTACTACTACTACTACTACTACTACTACTACTACTACTACTACTACTACTACTACTACTACTACTACTACTACTACTACTACTACTACTACTACTACTACTACTACTACTACTACTACTACTACTACTACTACTACTACTACTACTACTACTACTACTACTACTACTACTACTACTACTACTACTACTACTACTACTACTACTACTACTACTACTACTACTACTACTACTACTACTACTACTACTACTACTACTACTACTACTACTACTACTACTACTACTACTACTACTACTACTACTACTACTACTACTACTACTACTACTACTACTACTACTACTACTACTACTACTACTACTACTACTACTACTACTACTACTACTACTACTACTACTACTACTACTACTACTACTACTACTACTACTACTACTACTACTACTACTACTACTACTACTACTACTACTACTACTACTACTACTACTACTACTACTACTACTACTACTACTACTACTACTACTACTACTACTACTACTACTACTACTACTACTACTACTACTACTACTACTACTACTACTACTACTACTACTACTACTACTACTACTACTACTACTACTACTACTACTACTACTACTACTACTACTACTACTACTACTACTACTACTACTACTACTACTACTACTACTACTACTACTACTACTACTACTACTACTACTACTACTACTACTACTACTACTACTACTACTACTACTACTACTACTACTACTACTACTACTACTACTACTACTACTACTACTACTACTACTACTACTACTACTACTACTACTACTACTACTACTACTACTACTACTACTACTACTACTACTACTACTACTACTACTACTACTACTACTGAGAACGTTGACTTTATTTGATAACAAACTGGGTGCCGGAATGAAGAATTCAAAAAACGGAAGCAAAGAAAGCAATGGTGACAAATCCAATCAAGTATATCGTAGATAGGAAAATCAAATCAAATAGATCGGAAAATCCAATAAGAAAATAAAATAAAAGAATCAAGTCAACTATCGAATACCAAAACAAAGAGTAAACCCGCATCCGCAAACACAATCAAAGCAGCACCGTTTACCCAACTCATCCAACAACCCAGACAAGAGAAAACCAGATAAGGTACACAAAGAAAACGGGCAAGTCAACCATCAAATCATGACCAACATATAATAGCAAAATTGCTACAACAAAAATACAGACAATATCATGAAACAGTTAGGTCAGGCATGCTAAACAGCCAGGTGGGCACGGGCCCTACACTCCACCACAAAACCGCCATGACCAGCACCCATGAGCCTTCGGCGGTACGAGTGCCGTGACCCCCGCAGACAAGTTATTTGCCAGCGAATCAGGCACACACTGATCCGGGCACGAAGCTGGCGCATGATCAGTGAGTAGGGGAGATCACGGTTCCTCTCACTGATTTGAGCTGCTAACGACTTCAGGAATATTGACGCCTCCGGAGCACACTGCCCATTGGTGGCGAAAACCAACGGCGTGAACGAACCGCGGTCGACGTTGTTGATCCGGCTCGAGTACTGGCGCTTCTTCTGCCTCTCGTTGTCAGACAACTGGCTCGCTACTCCCGAACGCGACAGCAAAGACGGCCTTGGGTGGGTAACCCGAACATCAAAGAAGGCGTTTTGCTGTCGCGTCCAGAAACCGCGAGCCCGTATGTCTGCACGAGCGGCATCAGCTCTAATACCTGAGACCGTCTCACCATCGAGAGGCAGCAGAACAGGCTCCAACTCGACATCATACGCCACCTCGGACATGGCACTAGCCAGCAGGTCCCGAACCTCGTTGTGACGTTGCGTTGGGTACCCGCCACAGGGGCATGTCATAGCGTGGTGGCTTGTCATGTCTTTGCCACACACGCATGATGCTGGCAAACCTTCCAAGGGAAGGCCATATCGTAGGCCCACAGCATCACGGAAATCCGTCCTGCTGAAAACGGTCCCAGGCATTGTAGTCGCAGGTGGAGTCGTCAACCAACTTGAGACGCCATCTTCACCTGCGACCTCTACCAGTAGCCGTTGCGTGGGCGGG